GCAGATTTCTTAGATTTTTCCTTCTACCCTGAAGATGGAAGCGATACGTTCCTCTGAAACGTCGGTTAACACCACATATACACGGTGCCAAATCCCAGAAGACTGCTTTCCTCACCAGAAACATAGTTCTTGTGTTGAGACAGGAATAATTTTGAAAGTAATTTATAGAATAACACAACATGATGCATTCCTTGAAGATTATGTAGACCAACAGAGATGTCCTGACTGGTAAACAGAAATATAATATGACAGAAAACTATATATTTATTTTATTGTTTTTTATGGAATTTAAGTCAAAGAGGCTATGGAATCGTAAGCATTTTGCATATTTGGAATAGAAATAAATGTTGCAAAGTGAACACTTGAAAAACCAAGATGAAATTTTAAACATGAAATTAAAATATATCTTAAGATCTCAGATTCTAGTGATGTGGATTGAACTTTATTATCTTCAGACATGGTCCAATGACAGGCTGTTCTCTTGTTTGTGTTGAACCTTCAGGTTCTCATAATTACAAAAAAAAAATAATTTATAATTTAATCATGAGGAGGCACATGAACATATACTGTATTTTGCTGTTATAAGGAACAGTCACTGGGAATTCAATATATGCCATATATGCATTTGTACTATTAACTCTTCTTACTTTCCCCCATGTTCCTTTCTAGTCCTACATGTTTTTGAATGATGTTTATGCTGACATTGAATGTCATTTCCCACAAAGAACATGCTCAAATAGTCTTCTGTATGTAAAAAGTAAGTAAAGCTATCCCTGTACCAGGCCGTGAAGGCCCATAGGGGTGTGAGACGTTGAGGGTCCCACACTATCTAGACAATCAGCTCAAAGATGGCAGTAAGGTTGTCAGCCTGATGCGCTAGCCGCCCTTTACGCCCTAGGAAAATTATTTAATTAATTCCTGGTACTCATTTCTGTTAGAGGCTGAGTTAAACCCAGGGCCTAGTGCGGCTGGAAGGATTAGGTCAACTGAAAAAAATCCAATGACCTCATCAGGGCTTGAACCCGCGACCTTCCGGCTTGTAGTATAGCCCCTCAACCACTATGCTAAAGTGTGCCCCATCTTCGGTATGTACTGTATGATTTATGCTACACTACATATATTCACATCAAAGTGTTATCAACACTCACAGAATAGACATGATACACAGAAATAAAAGACTGACTACTTGGTCGTGACCTGCAACATAACTAATATTCATGCAGCTGTACAGTCTGTTGTTATGGTAACCTGGTATGGTGTAATGGCAGTGAAAAATATCATGCTTACAATACTTTTTCATACACAGCCTGTTGATGGATGTGCAGTGTGAGGTACTTACTGAGTATGATCCTAATGACACATAGTGGAGTGGTGAATATTCAGGAAATACATCTGATTCGGAGTTTGTCTGCTGGATTGAGCTGTTAATGCAGTGAGAGGGTGAACTTGGAGCCGAGGACCTCACATGTTCACTGTAATCAATATTCTCATCATTATGAGCATCTTGTCTAGTGTTTGATACTTGAACAATTGGTTCATGGATACCGTCAGAAGATGAACTTTGGTCAGAAGACAGCAAATTGTCACTGCAGTCATCGTTGTCTCCATTATGAACTCTATTTTCTGATGCTTGTGAAGATGTTAACTCTGCTCCAAGGGTAGACTTGTTATTCTTAATTTGGTGGCTATATGTTCCTTCTGTATACATTTTTGAGATTTTAAGATCTTCTTCATTCTTTTTTGTTTCTGAATCTTTGACAGGTGTATAATCTTGAGATTTCTTTGCATCACATACTGAGGTAGAGAATAACTTGATTTTATTTATGCTATTTTTTACCTCATTTTTTTCATTTCTTTGACTTTCCATTTCTTTTCTTTCTTTTGTATCTTGTATCTTGAGAATTGCTTGAGATCGCCTTATTTTACCATTTCCTTTCTTTGTAACATTTAGGATATTTCTCTTGCACATATCTAATGAACTGCCGTTTGGTTTGTCTTGTATTACTTGTGAAGTCCTGAAGTTTCTAGTCACTACTTCTTTTCTTACTTCTGAAGAAATATTGTGAATTCCCTTAAACATGTTGTATGAAGAAGAAGAATAATTTTGACTTTTTTGTGACTGGCTGCAATCTTCATTGGATTCTCCAGGATCAACATAAATCTGAGCTCTAAACATAGATTTATTTCTGGTCTTTATATCAGTTCTTGGTTGCTCTTTTATATTTTGTTTGGATTTAAATTTATATGAATGAATTTCTGAAGCCATTTGTAAAACATTAGTCTTGTTTCTAGGTGATGCCAGTTGGCATATGGTTCTTATACTGTAATGAATATAGATTTTATTAGTAGGAAAATATGTATACTTCATGATCAGAAAAATATCCAGTAGTGGGCAAGGTAACTTCCATATATGCTAAATGTACCAAAGTAAATGTTATTTTCATTTTTGGACAACATAAAAAAGTCTTTTATTCCACAATTCCTCATATTTCTAAGCGGTGAATCCTGATTTTAATTAGGTTATGCAGAAATGCAACTTCATAGCCTGTTACAGTGATATGTTTGTAAAAGTACAAGTTTCAGGTTCATGGTGAATGTACCCACTTCCCTGGCCTGGCACATAGCAAGCCAGAAAACACTGGCAGAAAAGCTGCACAGTGCAAACATCTGGTTCAAAGCAGAGAAGAATAAAATTTTCTTTCTATATTCCTCCAGTCCTAGCTAGCCGGTTTGCTATTAGCCGCTGATACTTGTTCCACTCCATAAGCATATTAAAGGATTCATAGAACTGTCACAACAGATAAGAATTTGGATAGAAAGAAGCACAAAAGTATGAATTTAATTGGTATATTTAGAGCACCAGTGCTTGTGTCAGTATACCAAAACAATACCTTGAAAGGAAGAATGTGAATCAAGTATGTTACATTTTCTGTTGGACAGGCTCAAATGATTTAGATGACAACTTTCAAAAACATGCCAGTAATAATGTTTTAAATTTGCTATATGTATATAGAAAACTCACTTATAATAAACAATGTGCATAGAAGAAGTCTGACTGTAGGATTCGTAAGATACTGACAGACCCAGATTAAGATTGAAATAAATGACTAACTGAATTCATGAAGCTGAGTCTTTCTTGAGAAGCTAATAGTTGCTCAGCTAGTCAAGAACTTATCAGTATATTACAAAACCCAAGAGTTCATTGCTGTGTTCAGAAGAGCCTGTCAGTGGTCTCTATCCTGAGCAAGCTGAATCCAGCCTTCACCCTCACATCCTGCTTCATTAAGATCCATTTTGATATTATCCTCACATCTACGTTCAGGACATCCAAGTGGTCTTTTTCTTACAAAAACTTTTATGCATTTCTCTTCTGTCCATTCCCTGAAAATCTCATCCTCTGTGATTTGATTATTCTAATAATTCTCTAGCCTGTTGTTACTTCTTCCCTCTTAGGTCATAATTGAAAGAATTAACTAAGCACAGTAGAACAAACTGCCTTCACAGTGGCTTTAACAGATAATTTTATGTAATGTTAAAAAATACAGAGCAAATATCCAAATCATGTAAAATATGAGATTTTCATGATTGTGAATATTCATATTTTGATCATCTGGTCTGGCTTACAAAACCATCTTGTAGTCTTGTAGGCTGGAACCAACATTTCAGAGGAATTTACTACCCCATAATTTGACCCTTAATCTTTACCTGCTAAAGAGAACATCTTCCTATTAACATGTAGCTGCCATATATAAAAAACATTAAAGAGGGCTTTCAGACTTGCTAAAACAAAGGATACAATAATGTTTTAATTGTAACTTGTGAACTGACTTACTCATAAGCAAATATAACGTCACTGAACAGAGACTGTACACAACAGAAATTAATTAGTAATAACATTCATAATGAAACTCAAGCAGTGTGACAGAAATTTCACAACAGAAGTTCACACATTTACCAGGTTATGCTTCGTTATTAATTAAGCACACATTATTTAAAATACCTATTTGGTAACTGTTCTTACTTACATTAGTTTTTCACACTTGAGATTCATTATCTCATTCATACCACAGAGGTTAAATTTGCTGCTGCAATTATGTTCCTTCTCAAGTCTATTTATACATTTTGGAACCATATTTTATATTTGACATAATTCTTTCCAATTTAATCATAAGCTTATCAATTTTTATGGTGTTTGGTTTTCTGAGAAAGTCCCCCAGCAAATTTTAATAAAATTGAAAATAGTGTTACAACAGAATTAGACATATGAAGTAACATATTTCTTAACAGCTTAATTGTGTATTTTGTAGTGTTAAATTTGAAAAGAAAGGCATGACCAACTTATTTAACAGTAGTTAACTTACGTATGAATTTGTCCCATAAATGTTGGAATTCCTAATTTGGCAAGTGCTTTGCCTCTGCGTTGAGGTAATTCCAGGAAAGGATATTTCACATTTATTATTGCCATTTCATATTCCAACCTCTTTGTAATACTCTTAGTTAGCTTAATTTTCCTGGAAAGACGTTCTTCCCAGGCTTTGACCACATTATTGCTTCTATTGTATTTTCTTGGAAGTGGTGTGTAAACTTCAAAGTCATAAACATCCATTATTTAAATAAATGCTTAGAACATGTGTCTTGCAATGTATTATGCAGTCAATTATTGCGTCAAAAGAAAATTGTGTTAATGGATGCAGCAGCACATTGGGATGTGCACTAGAAATTAAATTTCACAAAATAAATAATTACTATATACACTTCAGGGATGGTATATTAACTGTTTACAGCAACTATGAAGATATATTGTCAAGGAATTTCAAATATTTTGAAGCCACCGCCATTGAGGTCGAAACAAATTCGGTACTAGGACACAGATGGCAGTGAATTCGAGCCCCAACGATCGAGTACCCGAAAGTGAACGAGCGAGTAAGAGGGTATCGGTTGTAACGGTTGTAATGGTTGTAATCGTTGTAATGTTCATAATGGTTTTGTCTTCATTGTCTTCGTGTTTTCATTTTAACACATGTGGTTAATACATATGTCAGCTTGTAGGTTAGCGATAACGTTAAGGTCTTATAGGCCACAGGCAATCCCGCGATTATTGGAGCATTGAAGCAGTTGTAATGGATATATCTCGTAATACCGTTGATAAAATTAGTAAAAGTGTAGTGAATTTTCACAATAAGCTGTTGCAATTTAGAAAGTGCCAAATACTGCGTGACCATGCAGTCATTACAGAAGATCTATGGGTGCGTAATGGGAAAATTGTGGACCCCGAGAAAGTGTTTTTTGACGAGAAAATTACTGCTGATGTACAGATAGATTGTAAAGGAGCTTTGGTAGCACCCGGTTTTATAGATTTACAAATAAACGGTACGAGTTCTAAAAGTGATATTTTCTAATAGTAATAAAAATGAGTGCTGCTAAATGAAATGCAGTTTGCAGGAACGTCAAAATTAGGTCTCGAAAATTATATAGCTTTAAGAACTAGGGTTACTAAATAATTTTGAATTACGCGAGGTGTTGTATTATGCTGATTGCAATCGACAGTGTTCAAATTTGAATGTAATAGTAGGCGAACTGAATTTAACAGTTTCATCTTCCAAATAAGGTAACTATGCTAATGCATATGGATTGTGTTACCATCTAGAAATTGGAAACAGTACGTTGGTAAAGGGCAAAATTTCTTTGCACTCTTGTTTGCTATGAAGGCATGTCGGAGTGGAGGCATAGCTCCGTGGATTCCTAACTTTAACATATGATGAAAGTGAGAGGTTAACTTCATACTTTGGCTAGTTTAACCGGAGAGAAAAATATATCATTTCCCATAGAACTGGAGGCCACGTGGGCTATAAAGCCTGTGTGGATGCTATGGAGAAAAAGAATACATTGACACTGATATGAATTGCGCTGTGATTTCCTTGTTGTCCAACATGTAGACTAGTCACCATACTGACAGCAATTTTGACTCTTAAAATTTCTTTGTCATTATCTTTAGTCAACACAACAATCTGAAAATATGAAATAAAGAAATTGTATGTTTATGATACAACAGGATGCAACATGTAAAGATATTCTGACTCTGTCTGAATTTGTGTTACATTATTGCTTTTGTTCTTGTTTGAATTCTGCTCAGATTTGAAGCTGTGTCATATAATATGTGGAATGATGGATATGTGATATTTCAGGTGGTTTTGGCATTGACTTCTCCTACAACAATCACGATGTTGAGGCAGGTGTACAGAAAGTGGCTAAGGGACTCCTGGCACATGGTGTTACAGCGTTCTGTCCAACACTCGTCACATCGCCTCCCTACGTGTACCTTAAGGTAGATCTATGAATAGGTTCATAACATTAAGGCTCTGATGTGAATATTACTTCATTTTCCTTTGTCATGATGTTTATGTCATTGCATGAACCTAGATTTACATCAAAGTAGATAATTGAAGCATACCACTTTATCCAGATGAGGCTCTGACAGCATGTGTGCATCCAACAGGCTTAGCATTGCAGTTTTTTTAAACATAAATACTGTTATTGCCAAGTTAAATTTGGCCACCAGCATCACAGTAGCAGGGAGATTCAAAATCCAATGTTCTGTAATGATGAAGGTTAAGGTATGAGCCTTTTATGGTGGGGCACACAATAGCATAGTTTGGTTGACGCACTATGCTGCATGGATGGTCGCAGGTTTGAGTCCTGATGAGATGGATTTTTTAAGTTGACCTCATCCTTCCAGTCGCACTATGGTCCTGGGGTCGACTCAGCCTCTAACAGATATGAGTCTACCAAGAGTCTTCCTTCCTGGGGAGTAAAGGACAACTGGCACATAAGGCTGACAACCTTACTGCCATCTGTGAGCCGATTGTCTAGATAATGTGGGACCCCTCATTGTCTTATGACCCTATGGGCCTCTATGGCCTGTTACAGGGATTCGTTTACTTTACCTTTTTATGAGCCTTTTATGCAAAAAATGTCAGTTTCAAAACTAGGACAAATTAATAGATTCAGAGTAGATTTTTCTGCTTTTCAGTCTGGAAGCTTAGCTGTGACTATCAGAACTTCCTGAAGGTAATGAATACCTACTTTCTAACTCTGGACAATGTTAATTGTCATTTGAAAGACCAAGATATAGGTAGGTGGATAATATTAAAATGGATCTGAGAGAGTTAGGATGGGGTGGTATGGACTGGATTGATTAGCTCAGGATAGGGACCAGTTGAGGGCTCTTATGAACATGGTAGTGAACCTTCAGGTTCCATAAAATGCTGAGATATTCTTTAGTAACTGCACTACTGGCAGCTTCTCAAGAAAGGCTCAGGTCCATGAGTGAGTGAGTGAGGTACCCTTAATTAAGTGAACTAAGTTACGATTTCCAAACTAAACTCTTTTGTCAGAAATATTTTAAAGACGGTTTTGTTATTTGTGGTTATTGTTATGAGAACACTATATATTAAGGTATGTAAAACATTTGTGCTCATAGTTTTATGTGGTCATGAAGCATTTCATCATAACTCTGAGGTAGAGCATTAATCAGGGAACAAAAAATGCCAAAGAAAAGGCTCAAAGCAAAGAGAGAAAAATTAAATTAGGGATGGTGGAAGTTCAAAACAATAAATTATGTGATTTATGTGCGAATTATAGTGTTGGTGAGTTAGGTAAATCAGGAAGGTTGTGGTTGACTCAGGTTGGAAATCTTGCCATCAGCCACTTGGAAGATGGAAGAGATGGGGGGGTCGTATTAAAGTGGATAATAAGGACAAGCTTTAATATTATCCATAGTGCTTTGGTGTTCATAAATTAACATGTTGCATTGCATTACAGTCTACACACACACTAGCACTCGTAATATCTGAAAAATATTTACAATTTATTTTTAAAATTTTAGTACATTAATCACCTCTACAGTTTTTTTTAAATAATGTTGATATTATTGTTCACTTATACTTTAATGATGTGTTTCAAATATATGATGAACTCAGGTGCTTCAGAAATGGCATTCTTGTTCATTTACTGCAAGATTATAGTTTGTCTTTCAATGCTCAGTTGGTGAATTGAGATTTTAATATGAAACTGGATTTGATTGTAAGTTGGTTAAGATGTTTTCATGAAGGCTGTAAATATGTGCCCAGTTTTCCAGTATCTGGGCATGTGCAGTTCTTATCCCTCCGATGAACATTTCAAAGGAAGAAGAGTTCTGTCTTCTGGAATATAATACTGTTTAGTCCATTGAAAGTTGTGCTTTCTACCTGCTTCACAGTTTCTTTCTTGGCTTATTCTTTGGCCCTGAAGATGTAGGCAACATATTTCTCCAAAATGTCGGTTGATTTTCGGCGGACTGCATCGTGTTACATCCCAGAAACAAATTTGTGTTGCACAGATGTTCACCCACCACATAATAGTTTTCCCAGCCACACTAGCAAAGCTACCTGTCATCCCCTCTCACGCAGACACAATTACAGTACAGTGTAGTTGAATTTGTGATTGCTTTAAGATAATTAGAATCTTCCATCCATCAATCTGCTGTGTTGCCCAAGAACTCTCACTTATGAACTCAAGAAAAACATATTGTGACTTTGTATTGAATTTCTGTAAGAATTTTTGTAATGCAACTGGTAAATTGCTGTAATTGGCAGACTCCATTCTACACACACACTAGGTAACAAGAATTTTGCTCTGTATCTCTGTCAACTAAAAGTTTTATTGATTTATTTATTTAATAATAAGTTGCTAAATTATTTGAAACATTAACTGATTTTAGGCTTGGATGTTTCCACATGATGTATTTAATTTTTTTCTTCATCAGTAGGTCTACATTATGTCATTCCAGTTGATTTTATAATTATTCATTCTTCTCATATTTTTAATTACAGCAGGTGTTACCACTGCTTAAGATACGGCCTGGGGGGCCAGAAGGTGCTGCTATTCTTGGTGCTCATTTAGAAGGTCCATTTATTAATGTGAATAAGAAAGGGGCTCATCCTGCCCAGTACATTCAAGACATGGACAGGGTGAGTGAATGTCCTTACATTCAATACTTTGACTAGTCTCACTTAATTTCCAGCAGTAGTTGCATGATGTAAATACAGATGAACAGAATGTCAAGAAAGTAACTCTGGGATTTTAGTAAGGTGTCTTTTTTAAGTATTTAATAATTATATTCGGCATTTTGTTTGATGGCAGTAACTAATAAACAACTTGAATATGAAATTTTGTGTATATAGATCATAAAATGGCTGAAAATTTGTAATGTAACTTTTTTATGTGTTAATGATTGCGTTGAGGAGAATATTTGGACTGAAGAGAGATGAAGTGACAGGAGGTTGGAGGAAACTGCATAATGAGGAGTTTGATAACGTGTACTCTTCTCCAAGTATAATTAGAATGATCAAGTCAAGGAGGATGAGGTGGGCATGGCATGTAGCACGAATAGGGGAGATGAGGAATGCGTATAGGATATTGGTGGGAAAGCCAGAAGGAAAGAGACCACTGGGAAGACCAAGGTGTAGGTGGGTGGACAATATTAGAATGGATCTTAAGAGAGGTAGGATGGGATGGTGCGGATTGGATTGATCGGATTGATCTGACTCAGGATAGGGATGTGCTGTAAATGCAAGAAGGATTGATGTACCTGTGTTTTTTTAACAAAATAATTAATAGCAAAAGATATCTGTGTGTAGAGGGACAGTATTTTCAACACCCTGTGATGTGTGAATTGTAACTGCTTCATTCCAAATATTATCAGCTGTCAGGCATGCCGATTCATTGGCAAAATTCACATGTGCCTTGCATCTGGCAGTGCACTGGTCACCGTGAAGCACAGAGCCATGAACTGTTAAAAAAAACTCTATAGTTATCAACTTATGGGTGTACATTTCATATTTCGTTTAACATGAGGTATTCTTCCGAAACCTTTTATGTCATTCAGACAGCATCTTCATCTTGGGCTGTAGACTCCTGGTCGCTGACAGAGCGTAGAGAATATACAGATTGAGTCTTAATTTTTTTTTTTCTTTGGCACTACAGCCCCAATGGGCCTAGGCCTACCTCCGTGAACTTCTCCGATCACTTCGGTTTTTCTAGATCTTACACATTCGGTAGGACTCCTTGGGTGGGTAATAGCTTGTCGCAAGGCCTCTGCCTGTACACAAACATATGAAAACGCACACACACAGACTATACATCCATGCCCTAGGTGGGATTCGAACCCACGATCCCAGTTTCCAAGCGAGCGAAGGCAGTACATGCCTTAGACCGCTCGGTTACCGTGACCGGCTGAGTCTTAATTACATACCTTAAATGTAAGCAATGTGTTCTACACTTACAGGCAAGCACAAATCATCACAGCCACTTCTGTTAGGGAGATACAGCATCATTGCCTGTGGCAACTGTGAAGCAGCACCACAAAACAGATGAAGCAGTCATTCAGGCTGCACACTCATACAGTGCATTAACTGCTGCCTCATGTGTCAGGGAACTGCTGTTTACAGTTCTGTCTGAGTAGTTATCACAGCTACTTGATGACAATCCATTGGCAATGACAGTGTGGGTACTGAATGAGTGGACTCCTACCCATTCTTCTCATGTCATGCACTATTTTAATAGGATGAAACAGACCAGTTGTGTGGCCTCCGCAATCACCTGATCTCACTCCTGCTGAATTCTGCTTGTGAGGCCGTCTGAAGAGTATCATTTAGGCCCAACAATGTAAAACAGAATGAGCTGTGGAATGCCACTGAAGCTGCAGGGATGACAGTATGCAGCATGTCTGAAGTTTTCCAGCAGACCAGGAAATCTTGGTGCAACAGGGCTCACTTATGCATTGACTGTAATGCTGGATTGTTTTGTAAATTGTCTATAGCTGACTAGAGGCCATTCTGTTCACAACTAATGTACTTTTTATCCGTAACTGTGTGATTTGTCTACTTCTCTTTTCTTGTGTTTCCAATTGCCATATCTTGCTAACCATATATTTATATGCTTGCCTGTAAGTGTGGAATGTGATTCTTATATTTAAGGGATGTGATTAAGATTTACTCAGTATATGTATATTCAGATCTTTAGTATCCAGTTCCATCCTCCCACATTTTTTCATCCAGTGGTGTAGGGTAATTTATAAATAGAATTTAAAAACAGTTAATACCATACAACATCCTTGTCACAAACATAAGTATAATTACAGATATACAGATATGTTCTGCTATTGTAGGATTGATAATAACTTATGGATCAGAGTCATGGATGGTAAATACAGATATACTCAGGAAATTAACAGAAATAGGTTTTTGAAGGAGATATTTGAGGAAACACTTCAGGATAGAGACTGGAATGAGATAGATAGAGAAATAGTTGAGGTAGAAGAAACAATAAATATTGGATAGTTGAAAAGTAACATGAGATATGGACTCACACATCCATTCAATGGAATGGAGTCCAATCAGGTGTCAGAGATGGGGTAGGCCAAAATCTGAACTGATGATGTGACACAACTAATGAGGGAATGATGCCTGTCTGAGAAGGTTGTAGAAAATTAAAGAGATGGGTCTTAGCATGAGGAAGCCTTAAAGGGAAGGAACCTTAGAGAAGAGATTTTATATGCTTTAAATTACAGTTACTATGTGGAATGTAATTTGAATTTAATTATGTGCTGAATATTGATGAACTAAATAAGGAGATTCCGTACTACAGAATTTATTAACCAGTATTTGTAGTTTATTTAACAATGTTGTCAGTAACTCAGACTGTGTAGTGTTGAACGGATGGGTGATAGTAAATAATGGTATGGAAAGAATGTGGAAGGAAGTGTTGTGACCTAATTTAAGGTATTATCCTGACATTTGTCAGGGGGGCTTGAGAACAACCATGAATACCTTCAGAATAATCAGTTTCCCAGCCTTTATTCAAACCAAGCCCCTCCAGAATACAAGTCAGAAGCCTTTCTGCTTGAGCCAAATTGCTGTGTGTACCATACAATGCAGTGGGCTAAATTTGAATGGACCAAAATTTAGTTGTAGCAGAATAAATTTGGAAATTAGAGGTTAGAGAACATTATTATTAAAGAACTGTTGTTCCTACCATCACCATCTGCTGCTGCCACAACAGCAGTACCAGCAAGAATAATAATTCCATGGTGCCAAGCCCTTGAGAAGCAGCCAGTCACTCACCTACTCAAGAAATTCCCAACATTTTATGGAACCAGAAGGTTCGTTTCCATATTCACAAGAGCCCTCCATTGGTCCCTATTCTGAGCCAGACGAATCAAGTCCATACCACACCTTTGTGTTTCTAGAAAATTCATTTTAATATTATTCTTTCATCTATGTCTGGGTCTTACTAATGGTGTCTTTCCTTCTGGCTTTCCCACCAAAATCCTAATGAGGCCGTGCCATAGCTCAAGTGGTTAGTCGCTGGTTTCCCACCGTTGCAGCCCGGGTTCAATCCCGGGTCTGGTCAAGTGGGATTTGTGGTGGACAAAGTGGCGCTGGGGCAGATTTTCTCTGAGTACTTCAGTTTCCCCTGCCAGTCTTCATTCCACCAAATTCTCCATCATCATAATCACCTGGAGCAGGCTACAATAGGCCAATCAGTGGCCACCCTGCTAAGTGGACCCAGTTGGACTCCACCCCCCCACTAAGTGAATTAAAATCCTAATGCATTCCTCTTCCCCATACATACCACATGTCCACATGCCCTATGCATCTCACCCTCCTTGACTTGATCGTTCTAATTATACTTGCTGAAGAGTACAAGTTATGAAGCGCCTCATTGTACAGTTTTTTTTTCCAATGTCCTGTTACGTCATCCCTCTTCACTCAAAATATTCTCCTTAGCATTTTGTTCACAAGCACCCTACTTATGTACCTCCCTTAATGCCAGAGACCAAGTTTTACACTCATACAGAGCCAGAGACAAAATTATAGTTTTGTATATTCTAATTTTTGTGTTTTTGGCCAGCAGCCAAGAAGACAAAAGGTTCTGCACTGAATGGTTGTATTACCCAAATTCAGTCTCCTCTTAATCTCCTCCTGAAACAAATTCTGATTTGTTACTATTGTTCCCAAATATTTGAACTGTGCCACATTTTCAAAGTATCTGTTAGCTCTCTTTATATCATGATTTTGCCCTGCATTCTGGTGACAAGACAGCAACATATTCTTAGTTTTCTTTATGCTTACTTCTAGACCAACCTCCCTACTAGCATCAGTTAAAGTTTCTCTGGTTTTCTTTAAGGTGTCTGTGTTATCACCCAGTGGATTCACATCATCAGTGTAGACCAGCAGCTGATGGTGGTTGGTATGACTGCACTATTGAATGGTTATTGTCTTAACTGTTGTATGTTGTCTTGTTTTGTCCTTTTGTATGTTTTGTATATCTCTTTGCTGAAGCTTACTTTATAATTGGACTTCAGGCTGTTCAGTAAACATGTGAGCAAATAAATGATTGAATTGAATTACTATTTATGTTAGTACTAGTTCCTTATTGTTTCAGGGTTTGGATTCTCTTCAGGATGTATATGGAAGTATAGAAAATGTGAGAATTGTAACCCTGGCACCTGAGTTGAATAATGCTGTGGACATAATAGAAGAATTAACAAAGAGAGGAATTACTGTGTCTTTAGGTTGGAAAATATTCTTTAAATAATAAGGTTCCTTTCCACTTATCTTGTGTCATAAATTTAATAAAGAATTACACTGGTCCTCAATATTTTTTGCAGTCATAAACTTTTACTAACAAATGAGCTTGTGAACAGTTAAAATTTGGACTCTCTGTATATCCCTAGTTCTCTGATGCCTAGGGTTAGAATACTCACTTATGGCTTTATGCCATCAGTACAGAATTCCAGTGCCAGATCTGTCCTTGTTGCTGTTTATAATTTCTAGTCATGTGTGAGTCTGAAACTTTTGAGCTCAGATAAAGAAAAAAAATTTATTGATTCCTTAATCTTGATCTTCAAGAATGTTCAGATAACTGCTTTTTCTTTGCATAGCAGTACACAAACATCATGATCCATCATAATCACAACGGTTCACAATTCTTTAGTAGGATGCATCTCTCTTGATGTTTGAGGCTTTGCAGCCAGTGAGAAACTTGCTGTGTTGCCTAGTTCAGGTCCTCTTAACTACAGGTTTCAAAATAAAATGTCTTGCATGCTTAGACAAACTTTTCATGAACTAAGATTAAACATGCAGTTAGGTGAAGGGCTGTTTTTTTTTTCTGAATATATAGGAACAAATTCCACATTTCTAGCCCAAGTGGTTAGCATTTTAAGGCCTATTTATGTTTCTTGTAGCCATTGCTAAAAGTTATCCAAGATAGACAACGATTTTAATACTTCTTTGGACAATATATTCAAGATAAGGACTAAGAGTGATGTTGTATTTGATAAAATTTAGTTTTGAGAAGGCACAGTTGCTCTTTTCTAGCTTTTTGAGTAATGTGTGTCATTTTAAAATATGCCAGCACTCTATTTTCTCTGTCTGAAATAAGATAGGTATTGCCTGTGTTTTTCTCTTTATCTGTATTTATCTCATACAGACTTTGTTGAACTGTGTATTATTTTCCATCACACCAGCTGGCTGCCTCAGCCTCAGTGATATAACAATGAACCCAAGACAAGAAAGGACATAATTTGAAATATGCCAAGAAATATGAATGCCACTGTTGCACAAATCAGTTTGTAAGCAAATTCTTTCTTTTTCTCTCACATTACCTTTCTTCATCCATGGGAAGAAAGGACATTGCCTTGTAATTACTTTTTATATCCAGTGCTTTGTAAAGTGTTCATCAGAAAATGATCTGATATGAAAAGGGGTAAGTATCACAGTAGAGCACACTGTAAAAAATGGCTAGAATTTCTGGAAGTAAACATTCATTCATTGGTTGAAATTGAAATTGGCGACACAGTTGCATTCTTCAATGCAGTGACAGTAACAGTATCTTCTTCATATTGAGCTTTTGAATCCATATGTTCCGTTTCATTTGGAATGGCTTTTTTACAAAATCATTGGTACCTGAATGATATTCTAGCAGTGAAAGGTTAAGTTCATTCAACAGTTTCAACATACCTGCTGATTATGCCATCCAGCCAACTTTCATCTTTGCTGAATAAAGCCTTGAATTTTATTTTCTTATTTAGGTGGAAATATTTTAATTACTAAAGAGGACACAAAGAAAACTTCTTAATTATTTTACTGAAACCAGTAATTCATTACCTCTCTGAAAGAATGTATATGTTTACTAAATATGAGATGGTTTCTGATGAACCATTTAATAGTCACTTTTATCAGATTGGTGACTGAAAGGTATCAGTTACAGCATATGTACACATGGATACACACTGTTGCAGTTGGTACCATTACTGATAATATTCGAGCATGTGAAAGTCACCTCAGGTGTGTATTGATGGCTGAAAAGCCTCCAAATATTTCTGTCATTTCTAAACAGATTTATTTCTTGGTTTTCAGGCTTGATAACTGTATGAAGAGTTGTGTCTTCTGGGATATAAAGTCATATAGTCCATCGAAAGTCAGCCCATGTTCCTCCAAAATGTCAGTTGACTTTCAACAGATTACACAGTGTTGTATCCCAGAAGACAGAATGCTTCATAACCACCACTGTGAAAACATCAAATTCTTGATAGTTTTGTGTTTCAGGACATTCTTTGGCTGACCTGAGTGAAGGGGAGCGTGGAATCCAGCATGGAGCCACACTTATAACACACCTGTTTAATGCTATGCCAGCAGTAAGTGTGACTCAGTATTTGTCTCGGTGGGTTTTCATAGGTATGACATTCAGATATTGTGTTCCTAATTCAAGTGTGCATCCACATTTTGGTCCAGGCACCACATATCTTACTGTCATCACAATTGTAAATTTGCTGTCTCACAAAGACAGAAGGACAGAACTTACCAGTGAAATTTGTTCCAGATGTATTATTTCTTTCATACAATTTGAAGCTCTTGAAATTCCTGTGGCTTACTCAGTTCCAGTTGATTTTCTTGGGAATTATACTTTTAAAGACATTCAAGACATGAAATATGAGGTTTTCATGCCAGTGCCCATGAAGAGTGTTATGTTGTATGTGATGTTGTATAGTCTGGTAGAAGTTTACTGATGTTTCAGAGGAACATATTGCCTCCGTCTTCAGGATCAAAGAGTAAGCTAGACAAGCAGACAAGTTAGTAATAAACAGAATAAAATGACCATTAGTTATTTTCTAGCAATAAACACTTTGTTTCACAATGGTCATGTGAAAAAATGACACTTTTCATAATCCTCTGTATTGTACTGGATTAACTGTGTGAGAACATCAGAGAGTGTATTGAGAACTGTTATGCTTAGCAAAGCAGGCCACTGATATTTCAAAAGAACATTGTATTGTTGTGACACAAGTGTAAAACTTTCATCTAAATGAGTAAATTGGATTGCTTTAATTTATATAAGTATAGAAGAAATATAATTATGTCATACTCCAGAGGGAGAAGAGGGAAGTGGAAAATTCAACGTCATATGGGTGTGAGTAGTATCCCAGAGAACATTTCAGTCTTTTCTTTTCACAGAAGACATCCTACTTTTAAGAAAAAGACAATTCACTTTAAATATTAGTAGCCACAGTGTAACTTTTTTCATATTGTCACGTGATGGAGTGACTATGGATGGGTTTGGATTGGCAATTGGATTTACTGAACACTTACAGATGATAACTACAAGTAACTATAGTGCTGTCTCTAATTCACACATACACTGCAGTTCACTACAGAATGTACTAAGTCTTCTCAGTCTGCTGTATCTTCACCAGTGGACACCCCCCAGCTCCCAGGCTCCTGTCCTTACAGGAAGGCAGCCATCTCACATCAACCTCCTACACTTGTAATTGCCGTCTCAAGACTCCCCTGTAAAGCCAAAGTCACATTGTGACTGGCAGTCAGTCAGTAAGTCTTGGTGTTGAGCCCCATCTGGGGCTCATGACCAGATATTTATTACTGTTTGACAGTTACGGTCTTGTTTTGTGGGGCACACTCTCTGATGAGAGGACGGGTCAGTCTTTTGTATATGCTGCTGGCCCTTGCCCGTGCAGTCTTTCTCAAGTCCAAGTTCCTTGGGACTGTCTCAGATTTGAGACTTCCCTTTTTGTCACCTCCTACAACTCACCCACCTAAAGAGCCCCCGTTTCTTGAGCTGGAATATTCAGATTCACCAGACACTGACCTAGGATGGATAAACTCTTGACTATCAAATGTGAATAAAATCCATCCATCCGCACATGTGCTAACAAGGCATATGTTCGTATATACATTCATATGGATCCGTGCATACATACTGACAGAGAGCATTTCAAAAACCACTTTTTAATAATCGGGAGGGCTTAAGAACGTTTATTTGTCAAAATTTCCACAGTCATTTTATCCTATACTACATACTCATACAGGAGAAAGTAAAACTGATATGGCATAAGTTTTTTAGATACCTTAAAGAGACGTATTTTGTGTTTCAGTTTCATCACAGGGATCCTGGCCTTGTGGGTCTCCTTGGATCTGACCTCATTAATGATGGACATAGTGTTTTCTATGGTATAATTTCTGATGGAATCCACACGCATCCAGCAGCATTGCGAATAGCACATAGTACACATCCAGATGGTCAGTAGGAGTTTTATTGATTGTGCTAGTTGTGTATTATACTAGTAAACTAGTCTCCTGATCTTTCAAATAGAATGATCTCGAGGTAAGACACTGCCATTCATTGTCCCAGATTTAGTGATGATTGGTTCCACTTAAAATTTGGTATTTCATATAATGAGATACCAATCAAGACTATACAGAAGTGACCAAGATTAAATTTCATGATTTACAGTAAGTTTTTTTTTGAGGGGGGGGGGAAGGGCATGCTACTGTAGCATGGTTGAGGCAGTATGCTACAAGCTGGAAGGTCATGGGTTTGATTCCCAATGAGGTCATTGAATTTTTTTCAATTCACCGAATCCTTCCAGCCGCACTATGGCACAGAAATAAGTACCAGGAATCTTGCTGAGGGTAACGGGCGGCCGGCTCCTAAGGCTGATAACCTTAACATCTGTGAACCCATTGTCTAGAAAATATGGGAGCCTCAATGTCTTACAACTCTATGGGCCTTCATGGCCTGTTGCAGGGATAGCTTTGCCTTCTTTTGTGTGCACAGACAGACACTTGATGCTTTTCTTTAAGGCTCAAACAAAAACACTGTGGTTTTTACTCCGCAAGCAAACTATACCAACCAAGCGACTGCCAATTGTCAGCGAACTTAGTGCCAACTTTAGCTGATAGAGGGTGTTGCGTAGTCAGCGCAACGAATCCACATGGCCGTTAATTTAGGTTCTCTAGACCAGAGCCACTATTTCCTTGAAATAGCACCTCAATTATCCTCATGAGGCTGAGTGGACCCCATTCTAGATCCAGCCTCATCATAGACAAAATCACAGAGAAGATGTGCAGCGTGTGTGAACTGAAGTTTGCAGAATGGTGAAGAGGAAGGCAGCAAGTCCCTTCAGAATGTTTGTAACAACCAGCTACACTACACAGCATCATATCCCAGAAGATCATAATTCAAGTTTTCAGACTATGAAATATGATTCTTTTGTTCTGTTTGTTATATAATTTATATCACATTGCAGTAATATGAAACAAAATAATTTTATGTGTTTGAAGGTTTAGTGCTGGTGACAGATGCTATCTCAGCACTGGGACTGGAAGAAGGAACACACCAGCTGGGACAGTTAGCCATTGAAGTGAAAGGTGGACGTGCTCTGGTGGCAGGCACGGAAACCCTCTGTGGCAGCATCGCGAACATGAACCAGTGTATCCAGTTCTTCATGAAAGCTGTGTGTAAGTCCTTTGAGCATATGATATACAAGGAAGTAAGTTGGGAAAGTTACACACAGAGTGGAGGGAGTCTGAAAGCTCCCACATCTGTCAGAGAGCAAAGTGTGGTCATGGGTCCTGTGGGGCATGGAACCAAGAATCACTGTGCTGACAAGGGCAAGCAGGAATTTAACAGTCAGTCAGATGCACACATACAGCATTGTCTATACTTGGGTAGAAGTTCATAAAATTTCTTGAAAATGTCTTATTTCACAAAGAATCTGTTAGTCTACGTGATACAAATCAACATTCAGCAGCAAGCGGGTGGGTGTAGTAGCAACACTCTATACTTGTGTGGAAGACGCTGAGTTTAAATATCAGCCAAGACTTCTTTGATCATGCTAAGGTTTCTCTTTAGCCTCTAGAGGAAAATGCTGGATAGTGCCTTCATTAGGTAAAAACTGCTTCCAAGTCCTTTACAGTTCATTATTCACCAGTCATGTAACCATTTGGTGCAATACAGTCTGAGATATGGATAGATAAGTCTAAAGGTTGGTGACAAATGCACACATGTACTGTGTGATAGAGGTTATCCCTGTCAGATGAATCCAGCGGACTAGAGTTCATACTTTTACCTGATTACAGAAGGAAAACCAGCTTCTGAAATGACATGATAGAAAATGTCCAATATGTGTGTCAGATAAATGTATGTTTGTAGTTTGGAGTGGTTGATTATGATATTGGGGCTGCTAGGCTTCCATCTGAAGCACTGAACACACAACATGTGCATGTGTAGTCTTATTCCTCTGGTGGACTATACTGTATTACTGTCAGAGGAATGTAATATTTACTTTTTCATAATGATGCAAATTTTGAAGAATAAAAATAAGTATGAAACAGGTTATTTTGAAGAGTGACTCTGAAGGGGGCAATCTCACAGGACAGTGATAATGAGCGTGATGAAGACAGTGTAGCAGTGGGTGATAACAGTAATGTGACTGAAAGTTGAGATTACGTTTAATCAAGCTTTGTCAAATACTTAGACACCTGGCAGTGATGACAGACATTCACAACCTCCTGACATGCCTGTACAGGAGATTACATTTTCTTTTTTGGCTATAATAATGTAAATGGGACATGCAAAAAGATTACTCCATTTTATATATCATTTTACAGTAACATGATGAAAGATGATGTTTTATATATTGAGATGTATACATTTTGTGACATGAATCAACTATAAAAGATAGACAGTAACAATACAATATGTGTAAACTTTTCTGGAAACAGCAACAAAAGTAATAACACCTTAGAATTAGACAATGTGTTTTATTTCAGATACTTTCTACTAGAATATTCTAGCAGTAATAGTTCCAAGATACATAACTTTTTTCAGTGCTGACACCATTACTAGTGAAAATCCAGCTGCCAGCCCTGAGGTGTCAGTCCCTGTATTCTCATATGATAATTGTTGATCATGTTAAAAACCTATATGAAGAGAAAATGTTCTGCTATCAGTGTGGAAAGTTTCATGGCCATACAAAATATTGAAGAATAATTATTGTGAGATTGATGTGCAGGAAGTAATTCTGGCTATTTATTTTCCCCATTTTGTTTTCAGCATGTTCTGTAGTGACTGCCTTAGAAGCTGCAACCCTGCACCCAGCACAAGCAGTTGGCATCCATGACAGAAAGGGAACACTCAGTTTTGGAGCAGATGCAGATTTTGTCTTCTTGGGTGAAGACCTCAAAGTATGGTCCACTTGGATTGCTGGAGAATGTGTTTACCAGGATACGGAAAGCCCACATCCAACACTGAGGCTGATTTAGAACTGAACACATCTTTGTTACATTTCTTTCATAAGATACAAAGAAAAATTGTCATTGGGATTAGTTGCAATATTGCATTTTATATGAAAATATTGTGATACTGCTTCATAGTGAATATTGGTGGTTCCATCATTGTCTCTGATTTTTACTGGTAGCATGTGTGTGTGGTTGGGATGGTATGGATTAGATTGATTTGGCTCAGGATAGGGACCAGTGGAGGGCTCTTGTGAACACGGTAATGAGCCTTTGGGTTCCATAAAATGCTGGGAAATTCTTGAGTAGCTGCAGAATTGGCAGCTCCTCCAGAAGGACTCAGCTGCATGAGTAAGCAAGCAAGTATGTGTGCAAGGTCACTTAATATCAACAATTGCTTTGCCAGTGTCAGTAGTAATGTTTTGCACCACAAAACAAAAATGTGAGATTTGTGGAAATTACCTTTTATGCAGTATACTTGGCATGCGTGAGAATGACCTTTTCAGTTCAAAGAACTAGAAAAAATTCTGAATGAAGAGGATGAGAACAAGAATTTCTTCCTTCCATCGCAATCATAAAGTATAACACAGTTTTACAATGCACCAAAGTGTATTACTTGCCCCTTTCCATATTAGAGCTGTTGTGTTTTGCTGCACTTGTTATGCAAAATTACTGGTTTGCTGCAAAACTTGAGGAAGGGTAGGCCATTAACAGTTCACTAGGTAGAATCGTTTTAAAGCTGTTTAATATTGTCACGTGTCCGGGATTCCAGGACAAATAATAATGGGTTCTGGATTAGATGATTCAGTTTATTGGTACTTCTTTACACTTACAATCAATTATAACAGCTCACACTCGATGACTGTCCCAGACTCACTCCATCCTCTGCTGGACTACAAGTGTCTTGTCTTCTATTCTGCGTGACTGACTTGGTTCTGATTTATGAGTTGGTTGCTTCTTCAGCTTCCATTGTCTGCTGGTTAACACCCTGCTGCTGAACACTGAACTCTCTTACGACTGACTTCCGAATGCATTGTTCTTCTCTGCACAGTTCCTTATATAGTGTACTGGTAACCATGGAAAACGTGTTCCGTAGCAAGTCGGTCTCCATAGCAATGTGTGTTAATGCCACATCGTTCATTGCTGTGTGAACATGCTTGCCAAACTGTTGCCCAGCAATGGTCATATTCATCACATTGCTCCCTCCTTAAGGCTCTTTGTCCTGAATAGCCTATTGGTATATCACTGTTCCTCCATTTCCAAGGTTTCCGTGCCTGACATCATCTTGTGGCTCAGTTTTTCCTGCGGTGACTACTCTCCAGCTCCTCCCACTGCTCCTTTCTTAAGGATGAGGCCACACGAGCGCACAAAATGTGTCCGTTGCTACAAACGTACTTTATGATGGACGTTGCTGAGAACACCACAGTTGCAGAATGTGGTACGTAGTCTGCAATGGAACCAGAAGAAAGTGTAGCATTCGCCTCTCGTTTATTTCTACAACAGACGTCATGACGTTCGTTACAACAGACGCATTTTGTGCACTCATGTGGCCCCAGCCTAAGGGTGCTTGTCCTGAGTGACTCCCTGATAAGGTTCCAGTCATCCAGATTTTTTTTTTTTAAACAAGCAGGCTAAACTATCCTGAGTGGCTGGTGCTCTCACATTTCGTGCTCATCTTACACTAACACTGCGAGTAAGTTTGTTTTCCTTTTTGGGGGCGGCCACAATGTCCAGTTCCTTATTTCTCGCTCTGGAGGGGGCTGACCCCCCCAACAAGGTCCAGTTTCTCACTTTCCACAACCCACTGGACATATGGGCTGCTCGCTTTAAAAACTCCGTACCTAGGGTCTTCCTGAGGGTCTTGTTGAATTCCCTCTCACTTTGTAGCTGCTGTCTCAGGCCTTGGTTCCTTAACCAAATTTTTGCATTCTGGTTTCAGCTGATGCCTCCTCCTGAATGCCCGTGTTTCCAAAGTTCTCAGTGCCACATTGTTCTTACCTTTTCCCTTGTGCCATGCCACTCCAGCACAGTGGGTCATCTGTGAGCGGCAGCCAATTTCTTATGGGACCCACTGTGGCACCAAACAGAATTGTAATTGGTAAACCCACATAATTCAAGTTCATGATTTAAATAAACAGTGTTATGAGTAAGATTCTGAATAAGAATTAAGAATAAAAATGGAATGATTTCTGGATGGGATCATGCTGGGGTGCATCTCTGCTCAGATTACACAGGCTATATTTGATGTTACATTCTTTCCCCTGTTGTACTCTAGCTGTTTGCTTCTCAGTTATTGTGACCCCACTTGTAGCTAGACTTACAACTGTCCTGCTCAGCAGTTTACAATGTGTTCCCCCTCTGCTCTTCTGAAGTCTCTCACTGCACTGACAATGGGGGAGGGCTTGGCGTTTATATAGTGGTGCACAGCTTTTCTGCCTGCCAGCCTTACAGTTTTATATCATCAGTAGAGACTTTGGTCATTATCCTAACAGGGGCATGCTCAGCACAGTTACCTTTACTGTGTGCCATTATAGAGCCTTCTTAAATGAAAAGTTTTCATAACTCAGTGTGCTTAAAAAATTAATTGGGGGGGGGGGTCATTCTCTTTTTTACTGTGGGAAGGAAGATGCGTTGAGAGGTAGATTTTGGTGACAGATTGAGTCATGGTAGTATTGCTAACCATTGCAATTCTGGTAGATTGGGTAGTTTGCATGCTAAGGCTGAAAGCAAAAGCATTACCATAATTCTCACAGGGGCATGCTCAGCACTTCGCTTTTCTCTGTACCATTAGAGAGCCTTTTTTCATAAATCACTTTGCTTAAACACTCATTAAGGGGAAATTCTCTTTTTTACTGTGGGCATAAAGACAAGTTGAGACTGATTTTGTTGACAGATTGGGTCATGGTACAAATCATCAGTGGTCACTGAACATATTAAACTGATATTTAAAGCATCTGACAAATCATTGACTTACTCAAGCAGCAATAGTGCATCAACAAAGATTTGTTTGTAAAAGCAGTACCTAAACCACTGTAGATGCTGAAAATGCAGTCGCCATGATTGTTGTTAGTAGACTTTCTTGCCCAGCACAGATTTCATCAAAATTCTCTTCAGTCTCACCCAGCAAAATACTAAACAGCTGCCACAAAATTCACTTATATGCTATGTTCTGGCAGATATCCCCAGCCCCACATACATTACTTCAGCTCCTGTTACTGCACATGATCTATGTAATAACTAGTCATATACTCAGCCCCTGTTCTTCCTGTGTTTAAGATAACCCTTGGGGTTATATGTGTGTGTGTGTGTGTATATATATATATATATTGCTGTGTGTTAAGCAACTTTACACAGGTCTCGGATTAGTAACTGAATTTATTGCACAATTTTATAGCTTGTGCCTACACTTCATATATCACTATCACACACAGACTAGTGCTCTGTTGTGCTGTTGGATAGTGGCTTTCAACGGGATAATCCTCTACTTCTGGGCTCATTTTCACATGCTGGTGACCATCTGCTGACCATCTGCTGTTTTCAGCTGGTACTTTCTCCAGCTGTTAAGTGACCTCCGTAGTCTAGAGGTAATGTTCCCACCTCATGACTCGTGGTACGCAGGTTCAAATACCCGGTGGAGGTCGNAAGCATTATAGACACCACTAAGCAAGTGGCCGAACTCGCTTGCTCGGCGGGACTGATGGTACGCACCATTTATCGGTAGGGTATAGAGACTGGTAGAATATCATAGAGGGAAGCACTATAGATCAAACTGGTCGCGGTGCATGGGGAAACCCACCCTCTCTAAATAATAATAATAATAATAATAATAAATTCTCCAGCTGCTAGCTCTCGGGCTGAACTGACAACTCAAAATTGACTCCATATGTAGCCCAGCACGGACCAGATAGAAAACACCGCTTACATCAGTTCCTCTATTGTTGCATGCATCCCTGTTGGTGTGGGAACATGGCTCGGGCCACACAGAAAGCACTGGTTCATGTGTTCTCTAACAGTGGGTGTTTCTTCTGGCTCCAAAATTCTTGCTTTGAGCAAATTCCAATGCAAGACTGGCTGACTTGATTACCACCATGAGTTAGTTGTGAGGCAGTTACCACCCAGCAAGTGTGAATATGGAAGCAAAGGAATACTCACTATTGGGAGCCATTACTAGGCAACTCCTGTAGAAGACAACTTTGTGTGCTGCAGTACAATTCGTAGTGTGTAGAGCCATGAAATGGCTATAGTCACCTATAGTTATGCATAATAAGAGTCCAGTAAGCCCAATTACCAATCCAAACCCCATGTCTAATCACTAAAACATGACAGTATACTGTGATCTGGGCAAGTTTACCTGTAGTGTATCTAGGATGTAGACTTGTCACTTCCACGAAGAGTCTGAATCTCCACTGCCTGACTTCACAGGAGCATCAAAACTTTGAATAGACTGTTTTGCAGAAAACTCTAATGAAACCTCCCTGTTTATCATAAGGTACATTCCATATCTGTGGCATTTTTTTAATTAACAAACCTTGATTTGACCTCTATATAAAGTTAGGAATATATTGTATGGATACAGAACAAACCAAATTTTCAAGTCAGCATTTAGCATGCACCTCTGAAACATTTTACTGAAACCCCATTCAGTAATTTCACATATGTAACATGGAGATACATGGACTCCCCATTATATGTTTATGTTCCCAGTACAAAGACTCACCAGGGAAGCAGAAACAGACAAGACCTGCTACTAAGAGCCACAGATTTCTATGCCTTATACGTCTAACAGTGGAAGTCATCCCCAAACTTACAACCTGGCAAAGAAGAGTAAGCAGGTGACTGGTGGTGCAATTGTACACTCTTTCTCCAAACTAATTATACGTTCTGGGTAACTAGTAACAGCTGGGATGCAGGTATTTACCTGGCCAATGGAATTGGGCATCTATGTGCCAAACAGAATAGACCCAGAAGTAATGGTCCTCAGGAAAGTGAGATGCATCCTTCTGAGGAGAATGAAGGTTGGGCTGAGTATTGAGGCAGTCTAGTGGTAGTTCTTATGGGCCAAAAATGCGAGATCAATATTTCCAAGTGTTAAAAACCCATTTATTTGCACCTTTGTTATATATGATTGTGAAGGGAATGCAGGGAAGAGTAAAATGAAGTGTCTATAAAAGTGATATGGTGACTGGCTTCTGAAACTGGGTACATTCATCACATCCCATCCTGAGTAGTGCTTAACTCTAGTCACTAAACCCATCTGAGAAGCTCCACTCACTGACCCTGAGAAATCATTATCCTTTCACCAATGAGCAGCATGGAATATAAATGAAAGCAGAGGACTACAGTACCAGCCAAGTTACCGATCCCAGTGTAACATTTAAGCCAGCAAGGAGCAGCTAGTGGCTGGTGCATGCTTATCACAATCTTGCTTTACACACATGGAAGGGATGACTCCAAGCCTTTTGTTAGTGGATAATATAATTCTTGTGCTAGTACTGTCAGAAAATGTTTCCTGTCAACATGAAATAATCTGTCTTTCTAAGATGACATATGTTTGGCCTGGACCTTTGTGAATTTTGTACAAAATCATGTACACTGAAACCAGCAATCCTTTTCATGAACCAGACGTGCTTCTAAACTTCCCTGTTTCACAATGTACACCAGCCAGTGGAGACCGAATGCTGTCCTACCTTATCATCTGGTTGCCAGAACCAAATTGCTACCTTGTGAGTAGCCAATCAGGATTCTGTACTTCATACAAATTCCTGGCTAATGGGCTGGAGTTGTCTTTAAATACAGGCTGCAGTGTGATGACTAGGACTGGCAGAGATCATAACACAATTATAGACTGATCTTGACAGAGTGTCTGAGATCTGTGTGTGGCTTTACCTCCAGTGCTTGCAAATCCTAGCCTCTAGCCAACTTTGTGATCACCACTTGGAGAAATTAAGAACAGTCATGGCAGCAATCCAATCTCATTTACCATTACTGAGTTCCACATATATAAAGAGCATGTCAATTGACTATACTGAGTAAATTTGAAAATAATGGTCATCAGTCTGGGACAAAGAAGACTGGCTGGCCATATATTAAAATGGATAGTTTGAAATACAGACACATCTTTCTGGTAATATAAAAGATCACATTCCTCTAGTTTATCACATGGTAAGATGTGTGTGAAAATCATTGCAACTGACCAGTCTCTACATGTTCTGGGCTGGTGAGGGGATTGCAGTAAACAAATAAATACTGCAATGACTGCAGCAGGTGGACATGTATCTTGCTACAGTTCTGTATATACTAAGAAATAACCTTTTGGAATCTCAAAGGAAAACATACAGTTTAACAGCAATGAGATTTCTTGTACTTGGAAGTACTGCATACACAAAAAGAATCAGCAGTTTCCCACAAGGCTCTCAAAAAGACAGTTATGAAAACAGCATGCAGTAGCTTGAAGTACTCTGTTTACTATGGGAACAGTTTGAATGCTACCTTATGGGATATGACACAGTGTAATCTTAGTTGTACACTGATGTTCTCGAGACACCAGTAAAATTCTACCATACTACATGATTTCTCATCCCACAAGACAATTATGGTGAAACTCTGCCGTCACTGCTGTGAGAATATAAATTTTATGTGGAACAAATGTTCATCTTCACTAAGCCAATAAATACTTGGGAAGGGTGAACCAATTTTTGGTGGAGAAGGATTCCAAATTAAAAGAGTACATTTTAACAGTTACATATGTGAGAAAAATCTATCTCGGTATAAAATATAACATTTACTAAAATGTACTCATCACACCTCAACTACCCAAGCTGGGGCACAGAAAAAAGTTCATGTTATATTTGAAAGATTTTGCAATACACCATATTACTTTGAATATAAGACACATCTTGTTTTTGAATTTGGTTTTGGGGGGGAAAAATAGAAAAGTGCACATTTGCAAATTTAAAATACACCTCAATTCTTCAATGGGAAAATGTAAAATGTGTCATATCGGAAGTAATATGGTAATATAATGGGGAAAAATAATGAAAACTGAAAATGGTACTTGCAAACAGTATCGACGTTTAGGGCTGTCATTTAACTCAAAGAGTACAAAATTAATATTTATATAAGTACCTTAACATTCTTTCAGTAACTTTTATCACAGATTCATGGAAAAGGCTATAACTCAGTGTAACAAGCACATTACCTTACACTTATATGAAGAGCAGGGTTTTGAGAAAATGGCTGTCAAATGTTCAAAACAGTTTTATTGAATTTCCTGGCAGCAATAATGTGACACCACATGATTTGTGCCGTGTAATAAGGATACACGTCAAGTGGCCTTGAAGAAGATACTGCAAGGGTCATAGCCAGAGTTAAAGCAACATTCAATTTTATTAGGTTTTGAAAACCTGGATATTCAGAATTCCCTAACATATGCTTTTCAGAAGCTCGATTAACATCTGCCTATCTAAGTATGTGCTGGTGTTTATATTTTACCATTAACTGAGATATCAGGCCTAAAGAGATATGTGAAAATGAGAACATTCATTATTTACATCATTACACCAGCTGTCGTTATCTATTCATTCCAGACAAACAGACACACAGTATTGTGAAAATTATCATCAGCATGCAGACATTTCAAAAGAACACACAAAACAGATTCTACTGTGCTGATGTGACATAACATAACAGGTTAACAGCTATACACAAATAGACTAAACTTAAAATCACCGTTTTAAAAATTCCTATCTAGGCACATCAGCAAGCTGAATTAAAGTTACATAAAATAATATGTATATGATGTCTGGTAGGGCTGCCATTAGGTTGTATGTCTTATTTCTGCAACCATTCATTAACAAGCAAATTTTCTCACTGGTCAAAAGACCTGCTCCTTCCAATTGTGGATAGATCACATAACTTAAAAATGGTTTCCCATTTTCCTACCATTTTAAAATTGCACATTTATAATATGAAAAGTTGCATCATATCAGTACTTCATAAACTATGTTGTATCAGCACTTATTCCATTTTTTTGATCAAGTTTATTACTATTAGACTTCACCATGTAAATAAAAAATGTAAGAGCTTCTTTTTCAACCACTGGAATCGTTTTGAAATGCTTCATTAATGTCTGAAAAGGAAACAAAAATTGTTACTAAATTAGTTTCATGAAAGAAGAAAAATTACCAATTCCACATGACAATTCCAAATCAAGTCTCAGAAGTCATAGCCAATTTGCCAAATATGCTGCAGAAATCTTTAATATATCTATAGTTTCTTGTAAATTAAAACAATCACAAGTCGGTGAAAACATACACATCTACCAATTTAGTCATATCTCATTAATTTTTAATTTAGAGAGCTGCTGGAATAATTACACAATTTACATTCAATAAGACTCCCACACTTGGACCAAAATCTATCTTTAAACACTCTACTGAGGTATATTTGAATAACAGTTTTTATGCAGTAACACTGCCAAAGAAAAGGGGACCCTTAAAGTGAAAATGTTCTTCATACACAAAAGTACTCACATCTGCCAGCTGAGCCTTATTGGTGCCAGGTCTTGTTGACACTTTATAATGCCTCTTGTATCTTCTCAAGGTATTAACTTGTAGCTGGAACAGATCCACTTCTGGTAAATCTGTATCAGTTTCGTTTGAGTCTTCTTCAGAATCTTTCCTCCGTCGTTTTGTTCTTGCTTTCTGAATTACGTCCTTGTGATAGTCACAGATGTAGATGTGTCTTGCCTAAAGAAACAATCAACATTTTTCAATTTTTTATTGCTGGTTTCGGAATTACAACATCTAACTATTAAATTACACTTACTGCATGATCAAGATGAAGTTTAAGTCTCCTCTGTGTCACAGTTTTTTGTATTCGCTTGCTATATGACGCGTTGCCTGCAGGGCGAAGACACCGTTCCTCTTCATCTACAAGACAACATATCTGATCAGGAGGCCCTCGTGAATCTTCTTCACCTGTGCTGAAGCCATTCATCTCGTCGAAAACATGAACTGTCAAGAAATCATAAGCAGATTTCGTTCAACTGGGTAGCTCCTTTAATCCTGGCCAAGAACTCACGTAACCTAGAATATCCTATTGTGCTTTTTGCAAGTAGTCCATAACCTCACCAAATGTGGTGTAAATCTAAATTCGTATGTATTCAAATCACAATTCTTATTATGCATGAATGCAACTTCAGTTCACTTCATACACAACTTTCACGGTTGTAACTCGCATCTAGCCGTCACTTCCATATCCCTATGCGTGGTACTTCTCTCTCACATAATGGCGAAAGTTTTGTTGTTGTCATAGCTCACTACACTAACTCTGTGATTGGTTGATTTCAAATGCTCTCTATATAAACCACGCCCACCAATCAGAACAACAAAAATGTCCAACTTTTAAAATTGTCTCACAAATAATGCTATATGTCATTATAAGTGAGTTCAAAGATATTTAGAAGTGAAGTCCCTATTTTCTTTAGCAGAAACTATCTTACCATGTCACCGATGCTCTGTTAGTAACAGTCACTTCAAATTTTCGTCTGCTGCAAGACATATAATAAAAATTTGCCGCGCTGAACGTAACTTCCATTGTCATTGGTTCGAGGAATCGACTTTTTGTTTCATAGAACCAGTACAGTGATTGGTCTAGTTTTTGCGGTCCATCTGAATTTGACCAATAGAACGCGAGAATATTTTCCTATGTTACAGTCATGTACCGCATAAGTGGCGTGGGGTCGCGGTGTTCGTAGCAGCTATCCTTGGTCGTTGCAGTCTTGTTAAGGTAAGAATATTTTTATATTTCCTTACTATGATGGTGTCAGAAGAAGAAAATTATGATATCAGCAGATTAAATTATCTTGTGTTCTCTGTGTGAAGTGTGTGCCTTTGCTATGTTTTTAAACCTGGAAACTAAATTATACAAATCTGCTGCGTTCTATTCCATATAACCGTCATCGAAATGGCTGCCATAAGCTTAGCATAGAGATCGGAGTAAGTATAACAGAAAATATTTTTCTCTCTGAAACTATGTAACGTATGATGTTTATAGTGTACCAAATTAAAGTTATTTTTATATGAATTTCGTATGAATATTAAGGGATCTTGTAGATATATATAACAGCTTTATGAGGCTTGCAAAGTTCTCCCTTTTGTTCCAAATGGCAGCCAAGGACGTGTAATGTGGACACCATTTACCATTAGGCAGGGCTAGAGTTCGGCTGTAGTAACGTATGGGCCGTATACGTGTTGTCCCTATAATAGCATAGGGGATTGTATGGTTTTTGAAATACAAGATAGACATAAACTATAATCCAATAACTTGAACAAGAAAGCTCCAGTGCGTAAATTTAAGGGTACTTTCAGTCATAATGTTCGGATTTGCGTCGTCTTTGTCTGATTATTCTCGTAAATAAATCTGCCCCTATGGCTACCAATACAACTCGTAGTATCCATATGGGCGTACACAGTGCTATTTGATAGTGACCCGGCATGTCGGGGTGGTGATTGTTATCCGACAAAAGGCGTTGTGGGATGAAAAATAGATTTCGAATAATGATTTTTTTAGCAAAATGGCGAGCCTGTTGTTGTATAAAATGGCGGGAAGGAGAAATGAAGGTCATACAGTGAATTTAATGAAGAATGGCTACGTATGTTATTAACCTTTGGTTGGTATTTTAACATTTTCATTGCAATAAAATTTTAGTTTATAGGTGTTGATACAGCAACAGTTGTGTGTTTTCTGTGTGCATAGTATTTTTTTTTGAGGTGTTTCAGTTTTAATTTACTGCAGCATAGCTTGGCTTTCCTTCATTAATAGTTCAGCGCCGTAGTCATTGCTTATAATATAGAAATATTAAATTCATAAGTAATGTTTGTTTTTTATGTAAATTGTGTTAACTGTTAAACAATATTTTGTCGTGTATAAAAGTTTTTTTTTTTTGGATATGTATAGCTCCTGTAAACTGTAAGTTTGTGTATAGGCTTACAGCCTTGTATACCTTTTGAAACATGTGGCATATGCAAATTATGCGTGCGAGCGGAAATGGTTTGAAAATTGTAGCTTGCCCAGTTTTAAATTATTTCGACTCGCGTTTTGCATTTATAATAAATATTGAAATTTGGTAGTATTTCTCATTTCTTTAATGCACAGGTTGATCAGTCGAAGTACAAATAATTTGTCTTTGGTTATAATACTGTGCTAAATTAATGCGAAGGGATGAAGTGTGTCAGGATTTTTATATTCTGAGGCCCTTTATATACTTCTACAAAAAATTCAAGTTATAAGTAAAATTCTTTAAAATATGTACCTCTGTAACAACAGTATGCTTTCTAGGGACGGTTGTAAATAGTATTTTTCGATTCACGTTTATACGCTGGCGTTTGCGTATTAGTTACGTTGTCGCTTGTTGAGATTGAAAATGACGTAATATATATGGCGCGAAGTAGATTGGGGTGAGTTCAATGATCTGAAGAGATTGAACATGTTTTTTTCTCCAAGGCGAAGACTGTATTAACAATGTATAATTAACGGAGAAGCTTCGTAAAAATTACAATTCATAATTTTGTCGATTTTAATTACATATATAGGCGTTTAAATAGACTAAGGAAAAGCGGAGAAACCACTTTCCTATTTGTGGGGAAATTGGGGGTGGGGAATTTTATTCATTCGGTATCATTTGTCTCCCCTTCCATGTGCCCGGGTTGTGCCCGTTGCAAGGAAAAACGTTGATCGTAGAAAGATTCGTTTGGCTCGGCTCGTGGCGGTCCGACAACCCCCAGGCAAGCCTTAGCCCTGGGAATGCGTCCATCGTCTTATTGACCGACCCGGACCCAGCGCCCCTCAGTACGGCACGGTTTCGCGCGGGGGGGATAGTTTCCGCGTAGTCCAATTCCGGTCCGATCCGCTGCGTGTCGAGGGCGCTGTACTCGCTTTTTAGCGTCATTAAGTGCGATGTTGCCAGTTGGATTCGGCGCTTGTTTGAGATTATTGGAGGTAATATTTAGGTCCCGTGGCTGAAAATTGAAAAGGTTCGCCTACCATTTGTTTCGGAAGCAATGAAGAGATCTTAATACATTGCGAGTTTCGTTGAAAGGAAAGAGCAAGTTCGCCCAGAATTTAGTGTTAAGTACCCGTCATTCGTTGAGGCTGACATACGTGCGGTGAATGGTGTGCATTTTGCGAAGTTAGCCCGAGCAAGCACGTTGTGGAAAGGGTTGACAGTTTTTCTTTCGTACGGATGCAGGAATTCTACGCCTGTTCTAGCGGATGACCTCGAATATCAAGGAATGGTAGGACGGTGTCTGGTGAGGCGGGCGAGGTTCCTCTCGACCCCCGCCCATAGTGTGGATTGGTAGGCGGGTTGGTTGGCCAGTCTAAGCGTTTCTTTGTGAGCAGAGTAAAATTGGACTTGGCAACGTTGCAGCGGGACCCCTACGTTAGGCGCACACTGTGCGGCGGAGAGAGTCTCCCCCCTCGCTGACTGCCTGTGTCCGGAACGCTACGGAAAGTCCCCGCTCCTCTGCCTAGTGCCTAGCCTAAACCAAGCTCTTGGGAAAGTAGTGTAGTGAAGCCATGTCGGAGCACCATCGTGGTGCCTGGGGAGCGAGGGAGGACGCGGTGTGGTGGCCGGGCGCGATAACGACATCCGATTATCAGCAGTCGTTACAGTCGCATCATCAACATTTGCTGAATCAACAACTCGCAGTACAGCAGCAGCAACAGCAACAACAGGCGGCCGCGCAGCAGCAGGCACAGCATGATGCTATTGCCAGAAGTACGGCAGCGGCGGCTACACAGCAGCTTTTTTCGTATAAGATGGCTAGTAGCTTCCAGAACCCTGCTACCACGATGACATCGGCCAGTGTGTCATCCTCACCAGTTGCCTCCTGCATGCGAGGGTACGACTATAGGCTCGGGGATGGCATGGTTGGAGGCGGTAGTGGAGGAATGGTTGGCGCCGGTGGCCGATCAGGAGACGCTTCTTTAGCAGGCAGTGCCGCCCCGCAGTGGTGGTACCCCAGTGGCATGGGAAACCCAATTCAAAACGTGCCAACACCTCCCACAGTGGTATGTATCTTACCACGTCGCGTGTGTCGAAGAGGAGGGGGAATGTTTACGTTTCCCCTCCTGTCGTTGCGTACGTTGGTGGTTTTTTGTTCGTGCAGTATGCATTTTATGTGGTTCAATTCAACCGTTTGTCATCGTGAAGGCCAATAAATTTGTGTATTAGATTGGATGGGGGTAGAGATATCGTGCGAAAAGAAACGGTTGCTGTTCTGGAACCCGCATGACATGGTATTTGAAGCTTGTATCGCCCATTTGCAGTTGAGGTATGACAGCCCATATTTCATGTTTTATGCAACGAAATGAAGGCGATCGATTATCTGGCCCTACTGTTAATGACGGCGGCACCAGAGAACAGGGATCAAGGGAGAACGCGAGAGCGGAGCTCAATTTCGGCAGTGTTGATGTCCCATGTGTTCTGAGATAAGGTGGTCGTTGCATGCGTGTACCTCGGCAAGCAGGTGGCCGAGGTGCGCCAGTATATTGGTGACGAAGAATGTCTGCAACAAGGAAAACGCGTCCTTTGTGTAACCTGCTGACCGTGACATTCCCGCCTCCGGCATTGTTTATGGCTTGTTGACTTTCAGAACATGTCCAATTCAGGAGAAAGAATTTGTTTGTAGCAGTTTGCCGTAATGCTGTATTTTTAATGTGTAGGAACGAGCAGTTACTCCATGCCATATTTTGTTAAATTCCAGATTTATAGTTAACAGATGCATGTGCTTGTGTTGGTTTGTCTTCAGTTGCTCAACAAACACGTTTTTGTGGTTTCATGTGTTTTAGTGCTGTAGCAGTATGACACTTCAATGGTGAGATTTAAACTAGAAGGCTGAGTAATTTTGTAATCCTAGTTATTTCTTTTGAATTTTGTGGTCATAATGTGATTCCTTAGGTGAACAGCGTTAAGTGACGTGCCTCATTAGTAATGTGTGCTCCATATAGCTGGTGACAGTACCTGGATGAAGACATTTTGTAATAATTCACTATTTTCCAGCCACAGCAACAAAATCGAGGTAGGATGCCACGAGGAAAGGCTGATGCTAAGCCAAGGGGGCGGATGACTGCTTATGCCTTCTTTGTTCAAACTTGTCGAGAGGAACATAAGAAGAAGCATCCTGATGAAAACGTAATTTTTGCTGAGTTCTCGAAGAAGTGTGCAGAAAGGTGGAAGGTGAGTTACACAATCATTCTAACACTTGCCCAGTGCTTACAGAGATGATTATTGCTGGTATCTGGACGTTTTGTGTTGAATTATTCTGAATGTTTTTAATTGTTGATTCTGTTTTGTAATCAGACTATTGGTTTACTTATCTCCTGAAACTGTTGGCTATAATATGGATGATTAAGTAGTCGTGGAAAAAATATATCGCTGAACAGTGGCAAAGCTATTTGGATGTTTACTTCATTAATGTTGATGCGTTAGTTTTGATCATAATCCTTAGCTAGTTGCTCATCCTGCCAGCTCCATAACCGCTTTAAACTTTATCTTTATCTTCCCATCTTTGGTCATACAGGTGGTCGTTTTTGATAGTGTTATCCTTCGAGTAAATTGCCTGTTGGTACTCTCAGTACAGTATAGTTAGTGCCTCATAACTTTAGCTGCGCAGAAAGGTAAACGCCATGGTGGAGCACGCGAAGCTGTACACTTGCTGTTGTGACGTTCAGAGCTACTCCCCGAGCGGAAAACATTGCCTCCGGAGGCCAGCTAACAAGCAACACAGCATACTATACACCTGACCACACTCTAAGGCACTACATTCCAAACTGGTAGTACCCATGCTGACGTAAGCTGATAAGATGAACACCCCCCCCCCAATGCTCCGTGANTTTTTTTTTTATTATGTTGGTATACATGCCCCTGAAGTACAATAAAATTTTCAGCTGTATTCATTGCTTACTTTGTCTGTGGCAGCCGCTAAGGTTAGACGTGTTTTTATGAGCTTGGCGATTTTCGTTTGTTAAAAGAAATGGATCAAAGAATTTGTATCAAATTTTGCGTAAAAAATGAAATAAAGTGTTACAAAGTGTGTGAAATGTTAACAAAGGCCTATGGTGAGTCTGTTATGAGTAAAACAAGAGTTTACGAGTGGTATAAGCGTTTCCAAGATGGCCGTGAAGACGTTGCAGATGACGAGCGCCCCGGACGCCCCAGCACATCAACAACCGATGAAAACGTGGAAAAAGTGAAAGCAATGATTATGAATGATCGCCGAATCACAATCAGAGAAGTCGCTGATGATGTTGGCATATCGATTGGCTCATGCCATGAAATTTTTTCGAATGTTTTGGGTATGAAACGCGTGGCAGCAAAATTTGTTCCAAAATTGCTGAATTTTGAACAAAAACAGCGGCGAATGGAAGTTGCTCAGGAATCACTAAAGGAAGTCAACGATGATGCAGAATTACTGAAACGTGTTATAACAGGTGACGAAACATGGGTTTACGGATATGACGTTGAAACTAAGGCTCAATCGTCTCAGTGGAAGCATCCTGGATCGCCAAGACCGAAAAAGGCTCGACAAGTGCGTTCGAACGTGAAGGTTATGCTTACTGTGTTCTTCAATTTTAATGGCATAGTGCATCATGAATTCTTGCCTCAAGGTCAAACGGTCAATAAGGAGTATACCTGAAAGTTCAACGCCGTTTGCGTGAGGCAATCCGAAAAAATNTTTAGCTGCGCAGAAAGGTAAACGCCATGGTGGAGCACGCGAAGCTGTACACTTGCTGTTGTGACGTTCAGAGCTACTCCCCGAGCGGAAAACATTGCCTCCGGAGGCCAGCTAACAAGCAACACAGCATACTATACACCTGACCACACTCTAAGGCACTACATTCCAAACTGGTAGTACCCATGCTGACGTAAGCTGATAAGATGAACACCCCCCCCCCAATGCTCCGTGAGAGATGGTATGACCCCTCTACCACGGCTAGAGTTCCGAGGAACTAACAGTAGGTATGTGTAATTTTGTGAGGAATGTGAAGGTCAGAATGATGAAGTAAATATAAATCAGGCGCATGAAAAACATAAAAGTGCCTTATAATGAAGCTATTGGGGATCATCAGTGTGGGTTTCAACATAACGGATCAGCTACTGGAGAAAAAATGGGAGTATAATGAGACAGTACACCAGCTATTCATAGACTTCAAGAAAGCCTATGATTCATTAGGTGGGAAGTATTGGACAGTATTCTGATTGAGTTAGGGGTACACATGAAACTAGTTACTCTGATTAAAGTGTGTTTAAACCAAATGTATGGTAAAGTCTTTATAGGTAAATATTTGTCTGATAATTTTTCTATCCAGAATGGTCTAAAACAAGGAGATGCTTTATTGCCACTGCTTTTGAACTTTGTTTTGGAATATCTCATTAGGACTGTCCAGGAAAATCAGGTGAGACTGAAATTAAGTGGGACACATCAGCTGTCGATATGTGCCAATGATGTGAATCTACTGGGTGATAATATAGATACCATAAAGAAAAAAACACAAACTTTATTTATTTGACACTAGTAAGGAGGTTGATCTGGAAATTAAGACAGAAAACTACGTATATGTTGCTGTCTTGTGACTGGAATGCAGGGCAAAATCATGGCATGAAGACAGCTAACAGTTGTTTTGAAAATGTGGTAAAGTTCAGATATATGGGAATGACAATAACAAATTAAATTCTGCTGCAGGAGGAAATTAAGAGGAGATTGAATTTGGGTAATGCTTGCTACAATTTATTCCAGAACCTTTTGTCTTTTCGTCTCCTGTTTAGAAACACAAAAATTTGAATAAACAAACTTATAATTTTGCCTGTTCTGTATGGATGCCGTGGGGATTTGTTGCGCTGACCATGCGACACCCTCTATCTGCTAAAGTTGGCACTAACTTTGCCGACAAGCGACCCTCGCTCAGTGGGTGTAGTTCGCTTACGGACTAAAGCCATGGATTTTTTATTTTCTGTATGGGTGTGAAACTTGGTCTCTGGCATAAGTGATGAATATAGACTGAGGGTGTTGAGAATGTTTGGGCTGAAGAGAGATGAAGTGAAAGGAGGTTGGATAATAATACATATTGAGGAGCTTCAAAACTTGTACTGTTTGCCAAGTATTATTAGAATGATGGAGTCAAGGAGGATGCGATGGGAAGTGCATGTAGCACAAATGGTAGAAGAGGAATGCGTGTAGGATATTGGTGGGAAAGCCAGAAGGAAAGAGACTACTAGGAAGATGACATAGGTGGGTGAACAGTATTAAAATGGGTCTTAGAGAGGGGATGAGATGGTAGGGATTGGATTTATCTGGCTTAGGATAGGGACCGGTGGAGGGCGCTTGTGAACACAGTAATGAACCTTCATTCAAGTTCCATAAAATGCTGGGAAGAACTTGAGTAGCTGCACAATTGGCACCTTCTCAAGATGGGCTCAGCTCCGTGAGTGAGCGAAACTGTTAATACTGACTCTGACCCCCCCCCCGAAGTGAGAGATCTTATTTTTGAAGCCTTGGTATCTCTTCGTTCACCCTATCATCTTTTCTCCCCTGGTATCTTTTGCATATTTCTGAAAACTGCTTCCACCTCAAAAATCCAAACTTAAAAGCACTGAATTTGTTTAGTAATGGTAGTTTTAAATATTGATAACCAGTCTAGAATTTTGTATCTGTATTGGATACATTCATACAAATATTTTATCACTCAGGGGTTTTCTTTAAATTACACATCTCATTAAATCTATTCTTGAATGCCTTACTGCTTTTATTTTCTTCATTGTAATATGCAGTAGACATACGTAACCACATTTTCTTCAGTGGACTGAGTATATAAATTGTTTTAAACTCTCAAGAAATAACGCAGTGTATTGGTAAGTTGAAAACAAATGGCTTAGCGGATATAGTGACAGGCTTTGGGCTGTTTGGCTAGGATTCGTTTCCTGGCAGCAGCAAGATTTTTACCTCTTGTAATTGTTTTACTAGAAGTTGTTCGTCTGAAGTCTAGGTAGACACCTCTCCACCTAGAGAGGTTGGGAGAGGACATATGGATTAAGCCCAAATTCATGGCAAAACTGGCACCAGTTCTACTCTTAATATATACAGCTGGGTGGTTTCGCTTGGTTTCAAAATATCTGAGTTCAGTTGCGTTTTATGTAAAGTGGTGTTCAAGGCGTGCTATTTGGATCAGGCGTTTAACAGCTGATTTCATAAAATGTAGATTACACTTCATAAAGACCAGTTTGTTCAGAGCAGTCGTATATTATCCTGATGCTTGGTCGTGGGGAAACCAGTGTGCTTGCAATGAGAAGTCTTCACAAAAAAGAATGAAGTTACATGATGTGAAGATCTAGGACAGGGTTATATTCATCTGGTGGTCAAGGATTGAGGCTGTAACTTCCTGATTTGAGGGTATAAGAATGGATAGATTAACTGTGGGTGTTAGCATGAGACAGAACGTGTAGATTGGGCTTCCAGATGCCCACTGTGTTTTGTCTTCAGAATATGTCGACTCAGCTGGACTTTGTGTTTGATCCTGTTTTCAGGACTAGATGGATTTCTGCATATTGGTGCTTGTGAGGAATGCAAAGGACAGAAAAATAAAATTAAATCAGATTGTAAAATCAAATTATGAAAGAGTCTTGCATTTTCATGGAGATTGTAGAATGTGGAGAATATCTCAAGTATGCTTGCTCATTGAGCATAAGAAGTAGGCATTCAACATGTCCTATGTTTGCATGTATACAATAGCTGGGCCATGGGAAGTGACATGGGGCAGTGACATTATGGGTAACTGGAATGGCAATTATGTCGACTTTTCCTACATGAAAGTATTTGTTTCGCAGCTGTTGGCATGCATATTGTTGTCCTCTTGGTTGTGAAATGTAGTGTGGCTAGAGTCAATCGGCTTTGTTTTGGAGGAACATACTCCTACAAACTTGAGTGTATGATATGAAGGCAGTGTATTCCAAAATGGGGGTACCTGCCTATCAGACTACATGGTGTCATAACCCAGATCATCACAAAAAAAAATGTTTATTTTATGATGCTGGGTGTCTAAACTGTTGGATGTCAAATGGTGCTGTGAATGATGATTTGGAAAGAAGTGGCCATGGCCTAATCGAAGTACTATCCTAGCAAAGACACCCTGTCATGATAGCCAGTGTCCATGGCTAGATTTGAATTGGGTGCTTCCTGAATA